TTGCTCACTTTTTTATTTTATTTCAACATTCGCCGTTTTTTCTATTTGCTTTCGTTCTTTCAGCAACATACGATTTTTTTTACTTTCAGCATTTTAAACGACGCAATTGACGCTGACTGCGCTGTCGACGTCAACGTCGCAAACCACGTTTTTGCGCTACTATGCGTATGTGTGTGTGTGTATGTGTATGTCTGTGCGTGTCATTTCATACCACATTAGGTAAGGTTAGGTTTTTAATTTTGTTTTCTAACTTTGCGCCGCTTTTGCCACAACGCACACACACACACACACACATATACATTCATACATGCATACATATGTGCACGTGTGTGTGTTTTGTGCTTTAACTTCACCCCCCATTATTTACACTGATCGCGAGCCGCTCTCTCTATCTCTTGCTCTCTCTATCTCTCGCTCTCGTTGAACTCCCGATTTTGTTTACATAAAAACTCTCGCGTGCTTTGTATGTTTCTTATTTCCGCTTTCTTTAGCTTTTGTTTTTGTTTTCCTAACCTGTTTGCTGCACTCTTTCTCTCTCTCTCTTTCTCTCAGCCTACCCAAATATTTTCGCTTAGCATGTGGTTTTCTTCACTACACATGGCAAACATATGTGTGTGTGTCTTCGCCTATATTTTTATTGTGCTCTACGTCTTTGTCTATTTTCGCATAGTCTTCGCTAAACAGCGTGAACTTGAAGACCACGTGGTTTTTAGATTTTTTTTGTATTGGCGACACGCCAGCTCTGTGGATGCTAAAACCTAAGCTTGTGGATGCCATGTTGTGAAGAAGAGCGACAGCACGCACTCCCTCTCTTTTATCTGTGAATTTATATCTTGTGTCTTCTAGCGTACGGCATCAGGAAATGCTTCATCAAATTTACATACGCACTCACACAATTACAGCTGATATACACACACAAACACACGCACACACATACATATTTATGCATGCATGTTTTTGTGTGTGTGCATGTGTGTGAGTACGCGACATTTGCATATTAAGCGACGTCATCGGCGAACGTGCTCTCTGTGTGAGAATAACTAGATTCCAAGCAACAACATGAAAATAAGTCGCACTTTCATTGACGCCTTCCACGATGATGATGATGATGATGATGATGATGGGCGGAGGCTGTTGATGATCGCATGGAAAGGTTGCTGTTGGTCAGGGGGGAAAGGATTGAAAGCTCTTGCTTTCAATTGCGTCAATTCTTGAGTGGCGAGTCGTGAGTCGTGTCTTTTGCAGTCTGTGCATCAATTACGTCACTTAAGCAATCACACTGCAATAATCGCATTAATTTCAGTCAATAATAATACATTACGCAATAAGCGCAGCACTTCTAAGTGGCAAATTATTAGCTTGTTAAGAAAATAGATGACTCTTACTCATATCATTTAAATTCAAGCCCGGAATTGTGTCCAAGTTGAACTTTAATTTATATCTATAAGATTTAAAATATAAAATATTTAAGTTATTTTTTTATTAATACATTGACATATTTTTTATTAAAAAAATATGTAAAAATATAAAATACGTTTTTTTTTTAATCCCTTATATATTTTCTTGTAAAACATTAAATATAAGTATATCAAATATTAATAAAATATTTTTGTTCTTTTTCTTATTAAATATAAATGCATAATGTGTATAATATTTGTAAATTATTTTTGTTCTTTCGAAAATAACTAATACGTTTTTTATAAAATATAAAATGTGAAATATTTACAAAATATGTATGTCCTTTTTTTAAATCCCAACTAACTTTTTTTAAAAATAAATAACGTTTTTTTTTAAATAAATATAAATATATAAACTGTTTGTAAAATATTTTTGTTCTTGTGTTTTTAAATCATTAATAAACTTGAATTTAATTTCAAGTGCTGCTATAGCTCTCATAAATAACAGTAATAAACGCTATAAGCCGATGAAATTTTTAGCTACTCATCTAGCATTCTACACACACACACACACACACACACACACACACACAGAAGAGAAATCATCCAATCTATATTCCAGTTTGGAAGCCAACCACAAATTGTTAGTACCTAAATTCAAATTCGATTTGTACAAACACACACACAAATACAAATACAGATCAAACATTCAACACATACACACACACACGCACGCACACATAACAGTCGAGTTAGCTTTAGTCTACCAACTCCCCTACCCTACCTCCCCCACCCAGTCCATTACCAGCCACAGCACATTAAACAGAAATTATAATTTTTTGAAGGCCAGTCGCGACTTCTGATATCATTACTCCCATCTAATTCCGATTGGAGCAAAGCTTTTAAGCTTGACACTTGCGCGACAGCGACGCATGCGCTGTGGAACTCAATGTGTGGGGGAAGCATTTCTGATGTGTGTGCTATGCATGTGTGTGGGTATTTATCTGTTTTGTGACGTCACAGCTGCGTGCTGAGTGAACTTTTGACACGAATCTGCATGTCGGCTGGAAATTGCAGTTGATGAAGAATATTTAAACATAGAAAAAAAAAACTCTGTAATCTATCGATTAAAGTCAACTATGCATATAAATTAAATGTTGTGGATAATTTTTAAAAATCTTTAAGTAAATTCAGTGGAAATTAATTTCACACTTTCAGCTGGAAGCCTGGAAAATTACACTTCATCTGCATACACCTGAAAGTTTCATCTGAGCTTAAAAGCTTGATCAAAGTTGAGCCCAACTAGGATGCGATATAAATGCAAAATGCAGTCTGGAAAGAGTGCGAGTAAGAGAATGAGAGAGAGAGAGATATATATATATAGAGAGAGAGGGGGAGGGCTAGAGAGTAGGAGTAAGAAAGAGAGAGAACAGGTGCATGACTCGAACTACAAATTGATCTCTGCCCCATAAATTCTCATCTAGCATCGATGCAAAATAATAAAAAATAAATAAAAAAAAACCTTGAGCACTTATTGCGTCTCTCTCCCTCCACCACTCAGATTATTATTATGTGTCGCTGTTGCAGTCTGGGCCATAAACCACTAAGCCTCACTTCGGCTGGAAATGTCTCTCGAGTCTAGACTTCATTAGCGGCGTAATATGTGGAATTTATGTGGCAGGCACATTAAAAAAAAAACAACAAATACAACTTAAAAATCCAAGCGGATTGAACCAGTCTATGTGATAACTGGAAATCGCAAGGGGGTGGAGGAAAGCTCATACTCATCGTAAGCAGCATTTTATCAGAGTGCAATTTTGGTAAATTTCCCACACAATGATAACAATTCTTGGTCCGCTTATCAGTATAATGGGCAAGGTGAAAAACTGGTTTTAACTCTTCGCGAAAGCACGAAAGTAGCAGGCAAAACAAATTGGCAAATCTTTAAGAAATTCTACTAAATTCACATAAACATACATATTTAAATACATATCAGACACACACACATACGCAAACTATATGCTTATTATTTATTACTCAATTGCCTTAATGTGTGTGTGTGAATGTGCTGTTAAAAAATGTGAGCGCCAAAATATAAAAAACGTGCAATTCTGTGTGTGGAACACAAATGTGTGGATTTCAAAATACTCACACACAACACACAAACAAGCGATACTCTTGAGCGTAAAGCTCTCTCGGCCCACACCACTTAGAGTAAGAGACGAGCCCGGCTGGCTGGCTAACTGTTCGCTTGTTCGTTCGTTCGTTGGTTGGTTCGTGTCGCTTCGTTCGTATCGCTTCGTCGTTGTCGCTTTGCGCGCTGCTTCGCTTCGGCTTGTGGTGTTTTTTCGTATACCAATCAGTTGTCAGTTCGCATCCAACTAGAAAGCAGTTAACGAACAGAGAGTCCGTTGCGTTTGCGGTTAAAAGCCACGAGGTCGTTCAGCGTTAAGCGCGATACTTAACCCCAACAACAACGTCACCAACAGCCAACAAAAAAAAAGCAAGCAAAAAGTAAATCGAAGAAGAAATGCTTTGATCCGTTTTGATCACGTGTTCTGTTTTCCCCCCCGAATTCGCATACATATTTATGTACATATATATATTTAAACCGTGAACGATATATCGAGTGTGACCACGAAACACGAATTAGCAGGAGCAGCAAAATCTCGTAAAATTCCAAATCAAAACATTTACATGTGAACGAAATAAAAAAAAGAAGAAAAAAGTGAACACAGCATAGAAGAAAATACACAAAAACACAAACACACACACATACACACAGAGAAACGACAAGAGCATAATAAACTTAACGTTTGAAGAATGTGCGTAGTAAAGAATTAAAAACAAAATACCTCAGCAAAAAAAAAAAGCTGCAAAGATCTTTTCTCATTGGGTTTTTGTTTTTTTTTTTACTGCCGGTAACACATACCAACACACACACACTAGTGCAAAATCAAAATAGCTGCTCAAATTTAAATTTGAGTAAAGCGAAGAATAGAAGAATACAAAAAATAAACAGTAAACGTGCCTTTATATACATATACATACATACATACAAACATATGCATATCAATTTTTCCATTTGAACTTTAAACACACACAGACATACAAATGTATATATATATACAAATATATATTTATATAAATATATATATTTATTTATATATGTATATATATGCATATGTGTGTGTGTAGAGATCGCTTAGTGTGTGTGTGCACGCTTTCATTGAATTCTTATACGAATTCCAATTAATTTCTGTATGCGTCCAATTGGCATGAATTGGTGACGTGACGCGATCTCTCGCCCGCTCTCTCTCTCTCGCTCTCTCTTTTGCTCTATCTCTCTTAGCAAAAGGCGTACTCTTTAAAAAGCTTTTTATATTTGCTCTTGTTGTTTTTTTGTTGTTACTATTCCCAAAGTAAATACAGTTTAATTTGTATGTTTTTAGCTCAAGCAACAGCAAAAAGCCGCCCACTAAAAACAACAACAACAAAAACAGTGTCGAAATACATAAGTTCTACACATATATATATATATATATATATATATATATATATATATACATATATATTTACATACTAATGCTTATCTGTATGTAGAATCGATCTACGTGTGCGTGTGCTCTGTCTGTGAGTGTGTGTGTGTGAGCAAGAAATTATGCCAGTTAGCCTTAAAAGCGCTAAGCTAAAGAATCATTAATTAATTTAATTAATGCACAAAACCGGCACATGTTTTGCTCAAAACAAAACAACAACAAAAATTAAAAAGAAATAACTATTTAAATGCACTATAAAGAGAGACTCTTTCAAAGTGTTAATAAATAAAGTGCATAAAATACATAATATAAATATTAATAACAACATTAACAGCAATAATAACGAAAACAACAACAACAAAAACAGCTAAGCATCTACTAAATTTCCTACTGGACTTGAACAGGTAAATAACTCGAAATCCAATAAGAATATATTCTAGTAGATATATCAATAGCACTTTGTAACTTTTGACCAATTAGCGCAGCAAGCGGAATAGAACAATTACTTGTGCATAAAACTCTCTTTTTAATTTCTTTCTCTTTATTCGCTTCTTTCGTGTGTGTGTGTGTTTGACTGCAGCAGACATGGCTTTGATTTTGATTAGTGTTTTTTTTTGGTTTTTTTTTTTGTTTTGTTTTGTTTGAAAGCTCAGTGAAGAGATCTTAATTAGAGCACTGCTGATAATACGTCTAAAAATAGCCACGCGCTTTTGCTGATAGCAGACAGGCATTGAGCATAGCGCGTGTCGTCGTTTTGCCCGCACTCGTTTTGTCGTTTTGTCGAATATCGTTTGTCGTTTGTCGTTTGACGCTGCTCTTCTTCTCTTCATCTACCCCTTTTTTTCAGGTGTAGTTTTTGTTAGCTATGATGGATGCAAGAATTGCTCTAACTCGTAATATCAGCTGTCACACAGAACTTTAAATATTTCACGGATGCAGAACACATTAAATATTCATGTTTGCTTTATTATTGATGAGAATTTCGATATATCCGTTTTTAGTATTATTTTGGGAGATATTCGAGTGATAGACTCCGAAAAAATCGACTTACATTTTAGTACATCGCCATAGTTTTGGCGCCAATGGTCAATTGGTCACCATATTATTCAGAAGGTAAATGTCTAAATTGTAAATTAGCTTTTGGCTTTATACCAAGAAATATATTGTCTTTTACAGACAGAATACAAAAAAAAGAAGTTGCCTGTATTTTTTCCCATAAGGGAGAACATTCTATATTTTCCACATACGATGTCAGGAAAACAGCTGATATTTCAAGAAAAGTATGTCATTTCTTCAAATTTAAAGCAACATAAAATGAAATTTTTGTTTTTATAAATAAATATATGCCAGTCAGGTGTTTTATTTAAATCAACGGGTAATGTTTCAACTCCAACGTTAATGACAATAATGGATCACAATGGAATCGCGAAATGTAAAGAATGTGAATGTAGGCGATGTTGGGCACAATGCAATTTATTTATTCATAAACATATTTTATATTTATTTGTTTATTTCGTCATTTGTATTTATTGTCTGTATTTAAGGCATACTTTGTTTAAGTTTTATGTTCTTACGAGCATATTTTATATTTATTTTGACTTAGTTATTTATATTATTTGGCAGTGTTAAAATAGCAATATTACTATAACTAGCAACTCAACATTAATATAAACTGTTTATCTTCTTTTTTTTTTATTAAATTTTTGCATTAGCATTTGCAATTTATTCTTCCGTTTACACATTGTTTGTTTGCCAGTAATTTTCTATATTTTTCAAAACAAAATTGACATTGAAGTTAGATTTAGCACAAGAGATTAAATAAAATGGGTCGATTTTGTAGTGATCTGATCTGTGTTTGTGATAAGCGCTTTGCGTATTTTCTGTGCTGTGTGTTTGTGTGTATTTATTTATATGGCTTATCAATAGCTGGTGTTAATTACTACTGACAAAAGTGAAGAGTATTCGATTCGAGCAACTGAGACTACAACAAAATCAAATCATTGTGGCTAAACTTAAATTCGAAGTGTGAATATAAAAGAGAATATGCATATATATTAAATGTATGTTTGTGTGTGTTTAAATACATTCAATACAACTATACTTCAACTTACTACTTTTCTACTAAAAATTGCTTTTCCATGCATCATCCATTGATCGATCGATCAATCAAAAACGATTTGACGACTGAAAGAATCATTGCATTGCTTTAGTGAATTTCATTTACAATCCTCTCTCTGTCTCTCTATCATTCTCTCTCTCACTCTTTCTGTCAAACGGTCTTCCTCTCTGAACGTGAGGCGCGTGTTTCTCTCTTTGACCTTCCTCACGGCACGTGTAAAGCGCCAACACAAGTGCGAAAGAGATGGCAGAATTGCAATTGCAATAAGCATTTAAATTTGAATGCACTTCCCCGTTAATTGAGTAAATAATTTATTAACAAGTAAAGATCGCCATGATCTGTATATAGATGCTCTTCTTGAATGTTTGATTATTTTCTAGAGAATTTATTTTTGTTATCTATTTATCTAAATTTAAATGAAATGATTGAATTGATGAAAAGAAAAAAATAAAACTCGCTCAGTTTTGCTGCCGCCTCTTTTGGCGATTTCTTTTGCATTCCATGCCACTGAGTGTCGATATGGGAAAGAGAGTACGCCACTTTCTGCAATATTGTTGCAATTAGAGAGAGCGTTACACAGCGATAAACGAGAAGAGCTGTCGAGGGGGAGACTGCAGGGTCAAGATGATTAATTTACACCAGTGACTAAAGGCAAACTATGAGAAAATGAGAAAAATAAATAATAATAAAAAGTAAGCTTCTGTAAATACACGTGCAAATCATTAATAGGCATTCTACAGTCACAATTAATTATTTGTAATTTATTTATTTTATAATTTTCTTCTTTCTTACACTACAAGTGCTTAGGGGGCAAGTCCCAAAATCGTGTAAAACTATTGTATAATAAATTATAAACGCTTAATTATAAAATGATTATATTTAATATAGCCACAAGTACAAATTTCTTGTGCGAGGTTTTAGTACAGTGAATGTCCGAAGTGATATATATATATATATATATATATATATATATACATCAGTGTTCATACACATGTATAAACATTTGTGTAAAGGCAACTGGTCGAGCTACTAGCCAAGTAGAAAGCCACATGGCAACAGTGTCTGACAAAATGATCGTCATATATATATGTGTGTGTGTGTGTTTGTTTGTTATCTCAGTTGCGTTTTTTGTGATAAGCACAAGGCACAAAGTGAGTGTGATAAAGTGCCAACATTTCGAGTGCATCAAGTGAGGCGATGTTGTGAGTGCAACTCCTCGATAGATTGTTAATCAATGTGTTCCCTTAAATATTGCTAGCTACTCCCGAGAAAATTAAAATTCGCGAATAATTCAAATTTTCATTAGTGTCAAGTTTACTGTAATATTTCCAAAAGGTCGTGTGAATTTAATTATTTATTCAACTGCACAATTAGCAGTACACAATGCGACCAATATAAAATAATATTAATCATACTTAATACTTTTACTCAGGTTGTCAAACCATAAATTCATTAACGTTTCGATTTCGATTTTGGGTCTTAAAAAGATTGTTAATTTAAGTGCTGATCCCGTTTCCTATTCGGATTCTGTATTTCAAACGGTCAAAAGGCTGTTCCTTTTCCGATTTAATAGTTAGAGTTAACTGGACAATACGAATTTATTGAAATTAAGCATTGTATTTTGCTTATATATAATTCAGCTCCTTTATGACATGAATATGGTCCCAGGGAAAGTTGTTTAAAATGCAGCGCAAGTTTCACTCTCGCCACATGAAGGGGGAATGCTAATCAGCGGGTCAATATCATACGAATGGTGGCCCCAAAAGGTCGTCCGATCGATACCAATTCATGCAATTCGCTTTTTTTTCTTTCTTTTTTTTTCTTTTGGGGGCTCAATCATTTAAATATTGGTATGAGGAAGCTGTTCCCAGCTGGCCAAGTTGAGAGTTGTGTCGCTTTGTCGGCCAAAGTAGACCACCACCAAACTGACCAGATTGACTGACCAGGCAATCATCAGACCAAGTTGAGTGGTGTCTGATCGGCCGGCCGACAGACGGAGAGACGGGCAGACGGGCTGAACGACGGACCGACCAGCTGTCAGTTATTTATTTTACATCTCAGAGGGCCGACTCTCGAGTCGTGTCTGTATTGGAGTTGAGTTGAGTTTAGCGTCTTTAAAGCAAAGCCAACCAGCGCTGACATACTTTGCTTAATAATCCTGTTTGACGAGTTATGCCAGGCATGTGCTGTGTACAATTATATGTGTGTGTGTGCGTGTGTGTGCGTCTGTGTGTGTGCGTCTGTGTGTGTGCGTGTGTATATTCTATGTATGTGCATATTGTATGGTATTTGGACCTGATCTCTTACTTCCACGTAACTGAACCTGGCCATGTGCGAAGGGGTTGACTGCTTCTCATGCATAACAAGTAAGAGTGCTTTTGAGTTGAGGCTGGCACGACGAGAAGGTACCCTGTGCTCTCAACCCTCTTCCAAATTTAGAATTACAAATTGGAACTTAAAATTTCAAAAAGTATTAAATAAGTAGAAACCATTATGGATCTAAAATTTGCAAAATAAATTATTAATTCAAGTTGAGTATTCTTAACTCGAGACGTTTTTGAATGAATAAATTAAAATGGAAAAATGATTCTTGAAGCAAGTTTATAATAATCTTATAGAAACTGCTAATTTAATAATGCAAATACTTGATCCAAGCTGATTTAGTACTATTTTATTCTGTTATCGAACTTAAATTAAATCTAAGTCAAAGTTAAGCCTTCTGATTCGGCATTGAAATATTTAATGGGCTCGCAGATATTTACCTACACAATAACATTATACACCTAATACGTATTTTTAATGAATACAGAGTATCGTAATAATCACATGGGCGGCTCTGAGCATATGCTGGTCTTTATTTTTTCTTTTCTTTTTTAAAGTTAGCAGCGATCTACTTGGCCATATCTGATAAGCACCAGATAAATGTTTCTTTCCGCACGTATAGCTATACACATGCACACATAATGTATGTAGATATAATTATATATATTATTTATATATATATATATATATATATATATATATATATATATATATATATATATATATCCACCAATCTTTGCTTATCACCTGATTTAGTCAAGCTCCTTAAATGTTTATATCCAAATGAGTATATATGTTTTATTTATGCACATGGCGCCCTCTCTGCGATTTAATATTCTTATAAGAATGTTAGAGAAATTACGTAACGAGCTTTGGTTATTTTTGTTTAGCTGCTGTACTCACACTCTCTCCGTCTCCCTCTCTCTCTCTCTCTCTTTTTCTCTTTTGTCTTTTGTCTTTCTTCTTATTTTTGTTTTTATTACGTTGTGTATTTGGTTTATTGCTTTTATTTCTTGCTCGTTCGCCAGCTCTTTTTTTGTTCTTTATTATTATTATTATAATTATATTTTCTTAAAAGATTTACCTCTCTTTATAGTTGGCACTTTTACGACCTAGAGATATGAGTTATACATATATATATATATGTTCTCAGCCAGATATAGATTTGGTTAAACCTGACACATTTTGCTAATGAGTTGCTGTCAAACCAAACAAACTTTTCCTTTCTGTTCGTGACATTGAAAATTTAAAATTGCCAAAATTTCTTTCTTTGGGATTTTTATTTTTATTTGGCAAATTTGGGGCATTCGATCATTCGACAGAAATCCATATGGAGATTTGTGTAATGCATATTTTTTTGTAGTATTTTTTTTGAACTACTTTGTTTAATTTAGAAATTTCTAATGCTAATTTCTCGCCCACATTTTTTTTTTGAGAAACGTTCCTGACTCATTTTCACCTAGTAATAATTATACATAATGATTATATATATACACATATATATATATATATATATGTAGGTGTATGTATGTATATATTGCTTGCCCATTTTATTTATTTCACTTTCATCGTGCGTAGGTCTAGATTTTTTTTGTTGGGTAGGTTTCTGTTTTGATGTGATTTGTGTGCGTTGTTGTCGCCAATTGTAAATAAATATCATCATCTTTATTATTATTCATAATCTCTGATACATAGAATTAATAAGCCTTGATTGTGATCGAATATGATAATATTGATTTGGAATTACAAATTGAAAAATATGTATATGACGCAAATTATTAAAAAAGCAAGAGGAGAGCGAGATTAAGTTGTGTGAATTTAATACCGCAGATCAATAGAATAATTTGCTCTGTTTTTGTTTTGGATGTCTACATTTGTTTTTATAATTTTTTATAATTTCGTTATATGTCGCAGTTTGAAATATACTATATATATATATATATGTATACATATTTATATGTGTACATATATGAATATATAGTAATGACGTTTAATCAGTGTCATTCTTATTTCTTCGCATTTGTTTTTGGCGGCAACAAGTAGCCATTGGATTTTCGCTTGTGCGACGCAATTTTCGCACTGTTTAAAAGTTATAGATACTATCTAGTAGATACATTTCTAAATGTGTAAATGCATTCATATTCTGCATTATTTTTAAAACGCAATGCTAGCAGTTGTATCTAAGAATAGTTTTGAAGCTATCAACGAGAAAATAAAAATGTTGACACATAAAAACAATATTTATTGCAGTGCTGTTTCTTTTAGTTTTATGTATTTCTTGTCTGTTTTGGCTTGTGAGAATGTTGGTTGCAGTGTCTAAGGTCAGTTTGAGTTTTAGTGCAGTTATTTATTGTGTAATTTCCAAACACACAAAGTAAACACGCTAGAAATATTATATAATGGCAATATGACGAGGAACGACAAGCGTGACCTTATCTAAATACATATTTACACTGAGGAATAATGAGTACTATTATTTTCAAAAAGCTAATATTGTCTATAATCTGAGAAGTGACTTCGAAGCAGTTTGAGTTCAAGAATTAAGGATAATAATTTTAAAGCTCTGACATTTTAAACCAATTCTAAGCACATCTTGAAACACTTAAGCATTTTGTATTTGATTCTAGATAAGATCTTGAAATAACACTAAAGCAGCTTGAATTTAAGTATTAAAGTTCTTATTATTGCCACATTTATTGAACTTGAACTTGAAGAACAAACAGTTGGTAATTTCGAATTTCTTTCTATACCTGTATTTTCGCCTACGCTAAAGTTTGGCTCAGCGAGAATTCTGTGCTGTTGTTGGTTGTCGGTTAAGAAATGCTTATAAAGGTATTCAAATTCTTGGAAAGAACTAACATGTGTGCGAATTATCTGCACAGGTATTTCTAAGATACTCACACACACTAAGACAAACACATGTAGACATATGTACGTAACAATAGCAACGATTGTTGTTACGATACACTTCCGTGTTCTGTGCTGCTGGCTGTATCAAGGTATTTCTCCGTCGCCAGCGCCATCGCCATCGCCATTTCTGCCTCCTACTTACCTATCTACATACACACACTCACACGCACACACACACTCACACTTTTAGACCTAGTGCGCCACTGTATTTTATTTTATTTATTTATTTTTTTTTTCAAAAAAAGCGGCAAAGAAATGTTGAGTATAAAAAAAAAGAAAACAAACCCAATAAAAAAGACTGCGGCGATCATCGGCCGTTGTTTTTTGCGTCTCTTTCGTTAAACATTTTATAGTACACGCATACATATATTCAGTTTTCAATGTGTGTGCGTGTGCGTGTGCTTGTGTGCGTGAGGTGTGTTGTATTTGTTTACAAAACTCTCAAGAGAGATAGGGAGAGAGAGAGAGTGAATGATTAATTTTTATTGCGCTCTTTGGCGCGCTCTTTACACTGTGGGCGGCTGTGTTATCATTTAAGAGAGAGTCCAAACTGAAATTGAGTTCATGCCTCAATGAATTGAAAGTAATTTAAAAATGCAAAATGCTCGGCTGATAAGATACTACATACATATATATAAATACAATATACATACATATATGTATATAATTGTACATTGTCATTAAAAAAAGAGCGCACACCAAATTTTTGGCTGACAAAAAAAAAACAAAAAAGAAACAGAAAAAGAGCGCCAACAACATTTGAAATGCGTGCAAAGTTCGTTTCAAGCTGCAGTCAATCTCTCCAATGGCTTCTTATCAGTGTCCCCTTGCAGACAGCGCGGCCAGTGTCAATAGACTTTTGATAATAATACACACACACATACATGCAGACCTACTATATAAATGAATATCTATATATATTATATATATTAACATTTATATAGACGCTGTTTGCCCGCTAGTTTGGTCTGCCATTTATTTTGATCAGCTTATTAATGGTATCTCGGTTGCTGTCGCGTTTCCCTCAAATTTCTAGTTGCTTATGCTAAATTTAGTCACAATAGCCAACGACTCTATTCAGTCGCTCACTTTTTGATGGATTTCAATTGAGTAATGCACAGTAGTACAACAAGATCATAACCCATAGCACCATTATCGTCAGTCCATTGCCGTCCTCGACGCGTTTGCTGATAGAAGCAAGTGCTCAAACACATACACACACATGTATATATATATATATATATATACATACACTGAAACACACTAAGTAACACACACAGTTGCTTAAGTATATAGTATATTCTCACTCTTTAACACACCCTCTTTTCGCTTACGACTCTCTTCTCACTGTTCGTTTCACTTCGCTCCAAACTAATCTGAGAACATCTGTAAATTAGTAAAAATATATATATATATGCATATATTTATACAAAATAATTAATAAAAATATATGAATACATATTTGTAAAGAAAACTCAAATTTAGAATTTCATAGCAAAAAAGGGAAAAATCATAGAAATATGTCTAATATAATGTTTAATATCATTAAGCAGACATTAAGCATATTTACATATCTATGGCATACATATATTAAGTAAACTAAATTCCGTTTTTCTGTTCACAAAATGAACTCGTAAATTTCCGTGCGTTTCAAACAGGTTCAATCAGTTAATAAATCGGCTTAAACTGCTTCTTCATGATATGCCAATCAATTATTATTAGATAATATAATAACACTTTCCCCCCCTCCCCCACACAACTATAGAGAGCTCGCTTTAGGCCATTAGCTGTGGAAACTATTCGTGTTCGCAATTGAGAATACTCGACGTGTAATGATAAAATGACATGGCAAAATGATTTAACCAAATTACAAATTAAAGCAATTGACATTAACTGCGAACGTGAGATCAATTGAAACTCTGTGTGCGGCATCATTTGTAGAGGTCGACTGCTAAATGCACCAGTTAGTAGACGGTAATCAATTGAATCTCAATAGAGTTGGCAGTACACTAAGAAAAATCGCCAAAATGTCTTACTTACGAAATGAATACGATAGTATTTGTTTCTACAAATGGCATATTTCTTATGATACAAAATAAATACAAAAATGTTTGTTTCTACAATCGGCATAAGAAGTTTCGAACAACATTTTAACTTGTTGACAATCCAACATTTTTTATTGTAGATGTAGAAATTTAAAAAAATCGACAAAACATTAGTTTTTATTTAAAAAAAAAATTTAATTTTTGGTTTATATTTCTTTTCAATTTTATGCATATTTATGAAATTAATACATTTTCTGCAGCCAAAAAAGCAGTCAGCAAACAAAACACAATGAAAAAGAATACTTCCTTTATATGTTCTGTCTTTTTAATAGAACACAACTTATTTTTCAATTATCATTTTGATGATTTCACATCCAGGTTTAAGGAGCTAATCGGTCTCGTTTTGTGTTTTGGATTTGCTCAGCTGATAATTGTCACGAAACGGGGATTTTGTATATTTCTAATTAGTATTCACTTTCAAATGAAATATTTAAATATTATAAAAAACAAAGAACAATAAAAATGCGATCCACTTGCACAATAAAATCAATCTCTCTTTCCCGCTCTCACTCTCTCTCTCTCTTTCTCTTTCGCTCTCTCTCCATTGCAGCTTTGAGTTTTGGAGTGAGCTGACGAAAGCTAGAAAGCTGCAACTCCAGAACGAACTGTTTGCCATCATGGACGGCTTTGTACAGGAGTGGTCCAACCTGCCCCGTTCCGATAATGGGCTGCACATGGATCAGCTGGTGGGCGAGCTGCCAACAGATGGTGGCTTCGAGCCACAAACACGTGCACGCTCCAACACGTGGCCCTGTCCCCGTCCCGAGAACTTTGTGGAGCCAGTCGATGAGTTGGACAGCACCAAAGCGAGCAATCAGCAGCTGGCAGGTTAGTCACTCCTTACACACATCTCATCAAACCAACATATATATATATTTATGTGTATATATGTGTATATATCTACTCACAGATCCGCAGCAGGCCATGCAGAATGCGAATGCGGCCAAAAAGAACTCATCGCGTCGAAATGCATGGGGAAATCTATCCTATGCCGATCTCATAACGCACGCCATCGGCTCAGCAACCGATAAACGCTTAACTCTGAGCCAAATCTACGAGTGGATGGTCCAGAATGTGGCATACTTTAAGGATAAGGGCGACTCGAATAGCAGCGCTGGCTGGAAGGTGAGTCCATTCGCAGTCCTTTGACCTCCATTTCAGCGATTACATAATGCAAACCGGTTTCTTCTTTTTACCAACTTGTTGCAAAAATACGCATCATTTAGCAACATTTGTATTTTTGTTTTGTTGTTTTTTTGTTGCACCACAACAAACAAAGAAAACATGGTCAAGTTCATGGCCAAAAGAGCGTGAGTGATGACAAGCAAAGAGTCAGCTACCAACTGTTGTTGTTGTTTTTTTCTTCTTCTTTTTTCTTTTTTATTGCTTTGTTTGGTTTGCTTTTTTTATTGTTGTTTTTTTTAGACGCTCGTTATGATATTGTCACGCAATGTGCTATGCATTGAAGAAAGTTTTTACTACATACGTTTTCTTTTTATTTATGTAGCTAGTGCTAACAGATTGAGACTTCTACATTGTTCATTACTATAATAACAATAGTAAGGTTAACAATTAAAGTGATCACTTAAATATAGTTGCCATTAACAACATCAAGAATGGGCTTAGTTGTAATTTGAAATGCGTTTTTCTGTCTGATGCATTTGAGATCTGAGTGGAGTTGATGCCAAGGTATCAAAATTCATTGTTAACGGCTAATTATATTATTAGTTCGACTAGATTGGATATACTTGTGGTTCCTTGGTTCCGATTACATTATGTAAATAGGTTAATGTGTTATATTTTATGCATTCCCGAAGCATAAGGTTAAATATGTTAATAGCATGATTGGAAACATGGTCAAAATGGTCAGCGTAGATTATATACCTTTAAAAGCTACCATACAATAGACATCATATCTATTATCGATGGTGAAGATTTCATACGAGCCGCAACAAATTTGGTCAAACTCAACAGGTATAAATGCTGCTAAAATTGTAAACCAATTTGTTTAAATTCATTTTTACAATTATTAACATGCTCATACTTAATCACATCAATATCAATCATAAATAATACAAGTTTAGACAAGTATACGCTGCTGAGCTAGGGTATGTGTTATTCGTTAGCTTTTCTTTTCTTTTCTTTTCTTTCATTCTCGTTTTTTTCTTCGTCATTTTGTATTATTTTTTGCATATTATTCCAGTTCAGTTTGTTTGTGGGTCGGTCAGTGGCCATTCTCAACGTGATTCTCATCGTTATTCCCCTGGCCATTTTCATCGTAATCGTCATCGTTGTTGTTGTTGTCGTCTGCTGCTGTTGCTGCTGTTGTTGCATTGTTTGCATTGTCGTATTTTGCACTTTGTTGTGCTTGTGCATGTTACTTAATAAATACATGAAATATTACACATGTTCGTTTGTTTGCCTACCCAATGCCCCCCCCTTCGCCACCCCTTTACAACCATAGAGACCCCGCCATTTATTGACTGTCTGCTTGGACCACGTCCGTTCACTCAAAGTTGCAATTAATGCGCTTTTAACTTCGCTATTAAGTGGCAAAACGTTGTTTTTTGCGTTTTGTTTACATCGATTCATACGTAAATACCAGAAGAGTAGTAACTCACACATACGCACGTGATCTAAAAAAAAAAAAAAAATTATATATATATATATATATATATACGATCAATTCCCATTCATAACCACTGAATGTTTTTCTAAGAAAATTGTAGTTTTATTGTATCTGTTAAAGCCACATTGTGGTTTTATGATTTATTGTGGGCTTTATTTTATTTTTTAATCAGTTAAAAGCAGTCTTATTAAATGTTTACAGGCTATCTTTTCCATTGACTGATAAGTACTAATGTAAACATGTATATATATATATATGTAATTGTATATATATTAAATTTCGCGAGCTATCGATTTGAAGCAAGTTCATTGACATTATTCAATTTAAATTTCACATTGCAAAATTAAATCAATTTCTTAATGAAAATATGTTTTTTTTTTTGTATTGATGGATTCTGTTGCTTACATATTGTCAAACTTACTAAAGAATCTCATCAAACTGGGGTGATATTTTAGGCGATTCTCATTTGGCCTAAATTGAAGCGTGTTTAGTGTTCGACTAAAGTTTAATTAAGTTCAATTTGTGTGGCATATAAATGTATAATTCTTAATTCAAATGCTTGCATTATTATTTATTATATTACTTAGTTAAGAGTTCTGGCTTGTGCGAGCTTATCAATTTAATTATGAATACAAATGGCAGTTGTTATACAAATACTAAATGTGAATTATTAGTGGAGTGGAATTTTTTTAAATTTTTTCTTTTTTGTCAAAACCAAACTAATTACTTAATTTTAAAATTGAAGGGCGCTTAAAGCTATAATTTACAACGCTAATTGATGAATATGATCATATGTGAATAGATTAGATCCGTATAGAATTTCTGGGTTAATTACTCGAGCCTGTCGCCCCATCATTTCAATATAGTTGCTATAGTCCAGGCAGGTCAAGGTAGATTTAGCTCAACTCAACTAACTTAAGGTAATTACGTTGTACTAAAATGAATGTCTGTGGCTATTTTAATCATTTATTATATGCGAGTTTTTCATAGAAGTATGCCTATCATTTTCCTTGGAACTAAATCGCATTCGCATTCGAATTCAAATTCGCATGAAACGCTGTGCGTCATGCACGTGATTATTTTAGCTCATTGTTGTTCCTGTTATTGTTGTTATTGTTGTTATTATTGTAGTTTAACACCTCGCTGTCTGCGCATTTAAAACAAAAAAAAAACCAAAAAAATAAAAAAAAGCAAAAAAGGCAAAAAGAATGTGCTGCACTGGCGACATCTGAAACTTAATTTCCAGCGAAACCCCAATATACTCGTAGTTTTGATGATGTGAGTCGCAAGAGTGTGAGTTCTGAGTGTGAGTTTGAGTACGAGAAGTTATTGTTATTGTTTATAATTGTTGGTGTGTGTTTGAGTGTGTGTGTGTCTGTGTGTGTTTTTTGCTATTTGTTCGCGGAAGTAGTCGGTCACTGCGTCGTTCTGTCTGTCGTTTTGCGGTCCCCTTTTTTTTCTGTTTTTTTTTTTGTTTGGTTTTGTTTTATTTTTGGTTTTTTTTTTTTGGCGATTACGCCGCAAAATAACAGGCTGATAAAGAAACCGCTACGTAGAAAAGAGGAAGCAGCGATGCCGATGTGTGTGCGGTGCGCTGTGTGTTTGGGTGAAAATTGAGACGAATGCTGACTGGGCAAAGAAAGTACGCAGTTGGCATAAGGGGCACACACAAGCGCACAACAAACACACACACACACAACAGCAGCAGGGGGTTTCAGGCAGTTCCAGCAGCAAGTGCCGTCATCCGTCAGATACATCGGCTGCTGCTGCTGCTGCTGCTGCTGCTGCTACAAACATGTGCAGCCGTGGCTATTTTTAGTGTTGCAACTTTCCGGTTTTATGCTGCCACTGCCACGGCTGAAAGGGATAGTGACGACAACTGTAGTTTCTTGACTCTATGCTCAACTCTTTTGGCTAATTTATGCAACATGTTGCAAGTTGTACTCTGGCCCACAGGCTTGACTGCCTCTCTCTCTCTCTCTCTCTCTCTTTCTATCTCTTGCTCTCATACACAGTGCAACGTTTGCTTCGCTTCCCGGCGCTTCTTCCTCTTCAATAAAAACAGAAATGACATTTGTGGAATTTTAAATTTGGATTCGCGGTCTTTGCGGCAAGCAAACGTTTACGTTTCACGTTCACGTTGTCTTCGCTACCCCCTCCCTTACCCACCTAACCCCTTGACGACGACCACAATTGGCCATTGAACCTGTGCCAAGTTTTTATTCTGTTTAGTTCTGGCTGTTTTTTCTTCTATTTATTTATTTATTTTTATATTTTTTACGTTTCTTTTTACAAAAAAAAAGGGAAAAGAAATGAATAAATGTTTATTCGTCTATATGTATCTGTAGTTTTTGGCCACGATCCTAAAAGTGTTAAAATATTTGTGGCCCAACACTTTGCGGTTTTTATTCGAACTTGATGCAGTAATTAAATAAGAACTTTGCTGATTTATTCCGAATGTTGATTCCAATTGAGTTATATATAAATATATATATACATACATGTTCTAGCTCTGATTTGTGTGAGGTCTTTTGTTGACATGATAAATGGGCATATCTTAAAAAATATGTACACCTGTTCAGTTAATACCACTGTTAACATTTTAATGCAGAACTTTGCAAATACTTATCTATTGCCTTGTGATATCAACTTGCGTAATCAGCTCCTTTCAAGTGGTCATTTCACACGTGTCTCGTTATCAGTGCATTTTTCCAAGTGCTGGCCTTGTCATCCATTGCGAGGGGGTGTCAAGACTAACAATCATTTATAAGACTTGTTTTTTGTGCCCAGCACTAGTTTCATACTAATCAGTGTTATTTCATTACAACTAAAGAAGAAAAAAGAATAATAAAGAAATAAACATGAAATCTTGCCCAGATTAATGCTCAAGTACAAATTGTTGTATAAAAACATCGACTACAACATTGTTATTTGTATTTTTTCTACTGTTTATCATGTTTGCCGTCGATCTAATTTACATTTGTGCAACTTTTTTGTTATAAATTATCGGTAAAACACTAAACACATTTGAGTAACTTTGTGTAGGGAATTGGCGCCTGTAACTGATCAGTTTAGTTAGCTGCGACTGTTGCTAACTGTGCAGGGGAAAAGCAGTGTGAAAAAGGGCATAACTCATTATGCATTCACAAACACAATAGAAACTGTGTGTGGCGCCTTGGAAGAGGGGAGGGGAAGACTAAATAATTCCATTCATTAACTGCGTTTAAACAGAGTCGTTTGCGTAATCAATTTGACACTTGGAGCAGGCACTTGGCTTGCAGTGAGAGAGAGGAACGGAGAGTGGTGGGTGGGGAGGGGAGGTGAGGGGCCTCGTGTATGCCATGTGCCGATACGAACTGCGTCTTAGCAAAAAAATACAAAATACAAAATACAAAACACAACAAATGCAGCTGCACTCGACTGCAATTTAAACGAGGTGCTAGCAAAATAAAGCGAGATAGCATGCAAACAAGAAACAAAACTAAAACCAGAAACA